ACCAGAAATCCGACTCTGCCTGGGATTTGCGCAACCTGTGACAGGTCGTCGTGCCTGCGACGATTCGTCCTGCAGGTCGTCGCAAGGTTCAGAGACCCAATATTTCCACCAAGGGTATGTGACGGTCCGTCACACCTGTGACGGTCCGTCCTGCCATTCCGTCACAAAGTTCAGAGAGTCGATTTCAGTACCAAATTTCAGAATTTCTAAGTGTTTTGAAACGAGACCCTGTGACGGTCCGTCGTTCCCATGACGGTCCGTCGTGGGGTCCGTCGCTTTAGCAAGTTTTTCAAGAACTGAAGTCTGTTGCTCAAAACGACTAAACGGGTCGTTACAGTTGGTGAACTGACACCAACACAGATATATGTCACACACCTTAATAGATATCACCTCCAATGAATTCCACTAAAAGAACTTGGCGTTCTGGATGAATTCTAGGTCTTCATCCTTCTTCTTCCTCTTCTTTTGTCTTTTACACAAGCCCTAAGCGTGAATAACTTTACTAAAAATTACTTAAGGCTTAGTGTTACCCCTATTAAAACATTAAATCAAATTAGGAAATAGCTGGGTCAAAAGGCCACTTTACCCTTACTAATATCCTGATTGGGACCTTCCCCAATCTAAATGCCCAACTTTCGATAGTCATATCTCCCTCATATGAGATGAAAAATTCATAAACTTGAAGGCGTTTGAAAGATATATTCAAGGGCTTTCCAACCATATAAATAGTTGACTTTTACTCTTCATGATATAGAAGTTATGACCGTTTGAAAATGACTAAAAACTCGTTTTTTTAACTTAGCAAGTTTTCCCGATTTTTCCTATTCTTTTTAAAAATGATAAAATTTAGATGCTTAATAAGTTTTTGGCTAACACGAGTAATGAGATGTTACAAATTGTCTATGACAAATTTCCCTCGTACTGCACAACATGTAAATATCAGATTCACAAGAAGGATGAATATAGACTAACTTTGGAGATCGAATGTGCATTTTTCGACAAAACAAAAATTAACAAAGAAAAGTTTGAATGAGATTTGCGATCAATTTTGGATGACAAAGAGAAAGTTCATACTATTAAAAAAATTTAAAAGAGGTAACATTACCAAATTAGTCTAACATCAATTTTGAAAAAATTAGCGTGGATAACCTTAAATAGGAGAAACACCCTACACGAACTAGTCAATAAAGAGTTAACACACCAGGTATCCGGCTTTTTGCTAGAAATATCTACGCTTAAAGAAGATATTGGAACACTCACTAGTAAAACAAATGAGCAACTTAGTGCGGCTGGAGCATGTTCTTCATCGCCAATACATATTGATGTTAAGGCTCAAAATAATGCAGATAATATCTCTCAAGAGTTGATTATTGGATCATAAGTCGCTACACGGTAGTTATCATCTAGATTTGTGAACGATGGAGAGTTTGCATTGCCTAATGCAGTAATGGTAACTAAATTAAAGAAATATGAGAAAAACAAGGCTCCTCTATCGCAGAAAAAACCAGTATCAACGAATTTGGTCTGATATTAAAAAACTATTGACTTTAAATCCTTAAAAAATTAAGTGTTGCACCAACATAATTCTACACAAGTTGATCTTGATAGACTTAATATTATTGTTGAATTTACTCACTTTGATGTGTTGCAAGATGAGATTTTTTCACAATATGAAGGGTTACGTGGTACGACTGAATTTTCTGCTGAATCTTGGAATACTTAAGACTTGGAAAAGCCGATTGACCATTAATCGAAGTTGAAAGAATGCTACTATATTGATCATATGGATCAACAAGCTCTTGTGACACATAAAAAGTAGTCCATGGTAATAGAGGAGATAGATGGAAAAGAAATCAATCCAAATACCCTACAATGTTTATTTTGAATCAGGATATGGGTACAACCGATTTAAATGAAGGTACGGAAAAGCAAGGAGAAACTAGTGTTTCAAGCTGGGAAATTTTTTTGAGGTAGAGACTCATACCTCTTCACTTAGTCGGTTCAGTTAAGACCTGAAACACTCGAATTTATTCCTACAAGTAAGACAAAGGCATATATGGCAGTCTTAGATACTTTATCTAAATTGAGTGATACGAAAGTAAACTTGGATTATAGTGATTTCTTTCTTTACTTGGGTAGTGAATTGTTTGATGGGGATGATGCAGATGATATGTTGGATAGATGATTTGATAAGGTGGCTATGGATGGGAATTATGTACCTACACAACAATGAAGTGGAAGCACCAAAATGCAAAAAAAAAAAAAAGACATATGGAAGACAACATAGTTGGGATTGTAAGGTGCGTGAGGAATTTTGTCCAAGGCACCTAATGGTGATACTGGCAAAACAAAACCATATGACAATATCAACGACTTTATCAAGATCCAACAAATCCAACAAGAAATGATAAATTATCAATTATTGTTAGAGATATTTGAACATAAATATAAGAAGAATACATTTTAGATTACTTTAAATGGGTAAACATGTTTTTTTAGTTAATAGTTATATCAAATGAAAATTGAGTTGGATAACTCGTCTCTATTCCTAGATTTTATATGCATTACTGAAGCACCCTACTTTTAATATCATCGTTGTGAGGATAAAAAACTCGGTGATTATCATAGAAGACCTAGTTTCGTGTTATTCTTATTTTCTTTATGCCTCTTAATTAGTACAGACTTCTTATCTCATTAGAAATAGTAAGGTAAGACCTATCCATCCTTGCTTGTACATTTCCCTATTAATATCTTTTTATTTTCAATACCTGCTAGACGCTCTGACTAGTGGTAGATTTGCTAAAAAAACCATTTACAAAGTTAAAAAATAGTAATTCATTTCCTTAAAATAATTAACGATTAATTTTTTTAAAATATATATAACGAAAAAACAAAAGAGTAACATTAGATATCGTTTACAAAACAAAATGCTTACTTGATGTCATGTCCTTTTTTTTTCTCTCAATATTTTTTATATTTTATTTGTTTTGAAAGATATAGAGTTTCCCCAATTAAGTGACATTTTGAAAAGAGATAATTATTATTCAGAGTCGCGACTTGAAATTGACTTTTGGTCTACCAAGTCACCTTATTTAAATCTCTAATCAAAAGGAAATTTGACTCTATTTTGTTGGTCTTCGAACTAGAAATTCAGGTAAGGAATTCTGTTGACCGAGGGGAAGGTGATAGGCACCCCTCGCCCCGTGGTTCTGGCACGGTCGCTTTATTGACTTTAGTATTTTTGGAAAATTATATTATTTAATTAAGAATAAATTTATTATTTTCCCTCAAATTTATGTATGTTTTTATTTTTTAATTTTATTATACAATTTCTACAAATTACAGTTCTGTGGAAAAGAGACTTTTTAGTTCAAGACGATTTAGGAATATATATTTATTTATTTATTAGACAAAAAATTAAAAAAAATTATGATATTTGAAGTTAGTTTTTGTGAAGAAATCCTAAATAGATTAGGAATGTTGTATTGTTTTTTTAATGAAGCAAAATTTTCTCTTTTTAAAAAAATATTTTTTTCTTCTTTTTTTTCTCATTTTTATCTTCTTTTTTTTTCTGCATGTTTTTGTGTTTTAAATTTTATATATTTTATGTTTTTGTTTTCAGTAAAATCTGTTACTCCCTTCTTTTTTTTAAGTAGATTTTGTCTTCTTTTTTTAAAAAAAAAATCTTTGGTAATAATTTCGTTACTCTTTTATTTATTTTTTGAAATTAGTTGTTTTTGTTTGGTTTTTTACTATCTATTTTATTAATTTTATATTCGTATTTTTTCATTTTTATTTTTACGTTTCATAAAAAAAATTACGTTTTTATAACTTTTTTTAACGTTTTCCTATTTATTTTTTCTCTCTGATTATTTCTCTTTTTTTAAAAAATATTATTTTACATTATCTCTCTGTTTTCTATTTTTTTGGTTATGTTGTTTTTTATCTTTTGTTTCATTATTATTATTATTATTATTATTATTATATTATTATTGTTATTATTATTATTACTATTTGGGTTGTTATTTCTTTTTATGCTTTTTTTATTAATCTTTCCAATAATTTGTCTATTTTTTTTACCATAATTCTGTAAATAATATTATATATCTGTCTAATTATATTTCATAATAATACGAATTAGTGATGATCATTTTACGTTTATTCCAGAGGAAACCATCTTATTTATTGAAAAAATATATAAAAAAATGAAACATGTTCTTTTTGTTCCGTTTTTCAGATCGAGAGAAAAAAATAAAAAAAAATAATAACATGCATCACAAATTGATATTACATAATAATAACATACGATTCAAAGTACTTTATATTATTAGACTCAAATTTTCATAACACATTATATTTAAATAATGAAATAATTTATAGTTACCTTGCTGTGAAAATGGATATCACGAAAAATAAATTCTACGATCTACTGTTTGAGCCAAGAATTTAGAACCATGACAAAAAACACTATCTCTAACCTAATAATCAAAAGAATAACTCACTTTTCTTTTCTTTTTGTTTGCTGTATATCTCCCTGTCTATTTCTTTTTCTTTTTCAAATTAACGTGGGTTTTATAATATTTTTTGGGTGAGAATCTGGTGCTAATTTTAAGAGACACAGTGTAGTGGGATTATGATTAACTTTAAAAATTAGTTCAGAAAATTGGGGTTGAGATTATAATAATAATAATAATAATAGCAAATTAATTTAAAAAAATAAAAATAAATGAGTGAAGCTTTTAAAAAAGTCCAAACGGGAAAAAAAATAAATGGGATGAGATTTTTTAGGAAAATAAGTTAGGAAGTTGGGAATAATTAGGATAGGTAAAACAAATTTGAAATCTTTAGGACTTCTCTTTTTTTTCTTTTTCTATACTTTTTCATAATATTTTATGTATTATTATTTTTTTAGACATGATAATTAACAAATAACTTAAATCTCAACTTCTATTTATCAATTTTATTATTATTAATCTATAATTGATCTTATAATTTTTATTAATTTATAATTAATTATTATTATTTTATTTTATTTTAAATATAACCCTTTTTAAATTGGTGTAAAATATATTATATTTTAGGTAAAAAATTATTTGTTCACACTTTAGCACTTGATGAATACACATACTTGTTATAACAAGACCATTTATGCAAAAACCTATCTTAAATTTCATATCCTAGCAAATTAAGTACAAGTTTGTCTGTCTTTTTTTTTTTCTAAAGAAAACATATATAACATTTCCCTAGCATCTTCTTAAGACAAACTAAAATATCCAACATGAAATCCAAAGAAATTGTAGCTAATTTGTTGCAATAAAAAGGGGTGTTGGGATCTTCTGAACCTATAAAACATTTGTAATAGGGCCCCGAAATAATTTGAAGCGACAAGTTTCACCATTAGCTATCTTGTTATCTTTTTGGAATGCAGTCCATCTGCCTTTTAGTATAACCTTACTCTGATTATACCCTATATCTGTTCTCCATTTTGTTTCTTCTTCATTAACCAGCCTCATATTCTCCATGTTTATTATATCTTTACTTTGGGCGAATTTCAACGGGATAGTCTGACAAAAATATTCATCAAACAAACACTATCGTTAGATTTTTAAAAATATAGTAAGTGTGTAATGGTATGAATAACTAAAATATCTGACGACACAAAGTAAAAACTATTAAACGTTACCATATAAGTAGCATGTGCCTTTTTCTAACCATTTCAAAATGCAGATTGTCACCATTTAAGTTCACCAAGTTGTGTCAACTTTTATAAATATTTTGATTAACTTGTTCACTTCTCTCATTAGCTTTTCCAACCTCCTTATCTGCAATAACTTGATATAAGTTTGACAACTACAACGATATAAATCCCAATGAAATGGTATGGAATAATTAAGACCAAAAGTTTAAAATGTCTTATGGAAATATAAATTATTGTCATTACATGCACATTTCTTGAAATAGATATCCAAATGCCATGTATATATGACTACTTAATGTATTCAACATAATAGTTAATAAATCAGTTATGATGTTTACTTACCTTGATCAATTACATTACCATTAGCTTGTAGGTAAACTTTAATATCATCCTCTATTACATTACCATTATATTGGAAGAATGGAATAACTTCCTCTTCTTCATAAACTTTAATATCTTGATGTATTGGATATTCAATTTTTGATGTACTTTGATCATATATAGAGACATCAAAGTGAGAACAAGGGATGTATGTGAATATTAATATGCTCCTGACGCTTATTGAATAATAGGAACAAAAATCATTACATCCTTTTGCTAGAAAATTCGCCTTGAGACATTTCCACTTCAACCTCCCATGATTTTCCATGCGGAGCCTCAAGAAAAACGAGGCTTTACATGTTTTTTCAATGACTTTTAGCAAATACTACAGGAATCCTCTGTATGAAAAGGAAATTTTAATTTAGTTTCATACAAGATAAATAGTTCTACTACAAAATCAATAATTCACAAGGAATAAAATTACAAATGCACTAAAATAAAATAGGGAAATTTTTAGAAAAACAAAGATGAACTTACAAGACGACATAATTCATCAGAGGAACTAATGATTTGGATAAAGTTAGGGCTGTTGGAAGAAGAGTTTACTTTAATTGGGATAGGATGGGAAATTGTTGAATAACTTCTTTACTATATATAGGACTTTGATACACGAGGACAATGCAATGCTTCTCTCACGAGGATTGCATTGTATATCTCATTCATATGATCCCTGTGATGGGTGCTACTTTTTTTTTTGTCTTTGAATTAACTTGCCTTTTATATTTTTCCTTCTCTTTGACTTCTATTAAACACTGATTCTACTAACCTTATCAATTACCACTTATTTACACTCTTTAACTAGTGAAATTTGTTGTGCTTGACGCGATTCACTAATCATCTTTTTAGTATATATATATACATGCATACATATATATATATATATATATATATTTATATATATATACATACATATACATATATATATTTGAGTTAATTCATAGTTGTGAATTATTTAAAAGGTATATGTGGTGTATGAGTATTTTTTAAAATAAAAACATATACTACACTCCCCTTGCCCTTGTGAATGGTTTTCCTTTTGCCTAGTTTCGTTACAAACCAACAAGGAACTAAGAAAAAGTATGTAATGGATATACCTTTAAACACTCATGTCTTGAGGACTAGAGATTATTTCTATTTCAGTAATTTAAGTTGCCTCCCAAGATAATGAGTTACCATTATCATACTATGTTTTAATTGCAATGATAGTCATAAAAGGTTTAAGACAATCAAACTAAATTACTTTCTAAAAGAAATGGGGAATTACTAATTCACTAGTACAACAATACATCTTCTTTATTCTAGGTTATTATTTTAAATCGAACAATAATTTAGGTACAACTATTTTTCAGCTGAATGCTCCTTTGGTCTAGTATAGTAAATCAGGTATTTAATCAACTAAATTAAGAAAGAGAGGCATAGATTTGTAGTTTGATTCAGAGTATTTCCTCCAAGGATATATCTCAATCACTACTGTATTAATACGAAAAACGAGAAAATGAGCCACTCCATAGCAGTAAAGTACAGTTAGAATACTACAGTTAGTAGTAGTAATAGTAATAGAAGTCAAAAAAATTGTTTTTTAAAATGAAAGGAAATCACTCATATATAGAGAAAACAAATGGTAGTGTGAAATGATTATTATTGTGCCTAACCAAAAAGGTCACAAAACTTTACAAAAGTCACAATTTTAAGGAAAGATCACAACCTTTCATAAAAGTCATAACTTATGATAAAAGTCGTAAGTTTTCACATATGTCTCAACAGTTTATAAAAGTTGCAATTCTTTGTTTTCCATTTACACCTTTTAAAACCCAACAATGCCCTACATTAATGCGGAATTACTATAAGAGAAAGAAAGAGGCAAGTATGTGTAATTTACAAACAAGAAATAATTGCATCTAGATCAGTAGATTTTCCCTTAGACATTATGTAGTGAACATATGTAAGATATACTCGATTAATTAGTAGATGTGATATCATTGAACCATCAAACTCTAGTGTATAATAATGTACCATGGTTTCAAAGTACTTTCAATGCTCTTTCTTTAAGATTGATGTGTGTCTAGAGCCTTTTTTGTAGTAATTCTCATATGTCTTGTCTTTGTTTGAAGGAAAGTTGTCCAAACTGAAAATGCTGAAGGTTGTGAAGAATAAGTGCAGAAATGACCCATCAAGCCATCGACGACCCGTCGTCCCATTGACGGACCGTAGGTGGTGACTGCCGATAAAAGGTTCAGGCATCGGGAAGAAACTTGGGGAATTCTAACTAAGTGTTGGGCGATGGAAGGATCGACGGTCCATCGACTAATGGACGAACCATCCTAGCAAATCCTTGATGTGATCAAGGACTGTCCCATAGTACCCGATGTTCAAGAAAATATAAGTCTGGAACGACGATAAGCATCTATGGACCATAAGTGCATCGACTGACCGTGTTGTTGGTCTGTCGATTCGATCAGAGAAGATGCAAAGTGTAACTTTGAAAAGATGCTATGCATGGACCGATGGAGGTAATCAACTGTGCGTCGTTTAACCGACGGACCATCTGTGGTTGTTGTCGATTGAAACCATGTTTTTAATAAAATTTCCTTATTTGAAATAATATTTAATTTAAGACTCTTGTTATTATAAATAGGGAGAAAAATCTCTTTTTTTGGGTTGGATTCTTTTACTAATTTCATACTTTTGCTTTGCAATTTAATTAAATTTCTGGATTTGTTGTTCAAGATAATTGTGTGATTTCAAGTTGAATTTAAAGATTTTCTTCGAATTTTTCAAAGAAGTTCATGATTTATTATTTATCAATTATGAATTGTGTTCTTCTAAGCATGAATAGCTAATTCTACAACTAGGGTTTTGGGAACAACGGGTGATTATTCTCAAATAGGTTATTGCATGCATCGATAATTCTTTTGTCTAGAAGTATTTTTAACGAGTGGACGCATTAGAACTCTCCTTATTGCTGCTTGTTAGACCAAGGGGGAGGTTAATAGGAAAATAATTACAGTTATAGATTTAGTAAATACTATTTTATAGGATAGTTTTGATTTGTGCCAGGTAATAACTAAGTCAAACATCGAATATGATGCTTAATATGAAGTAATGGTTTGGGTTAGCAGCTTAGACACGTAGCCAGACCAAGGTACATGGTGAAATTCTCTAAACGACGGACCAGGGATTTAGAGATGTATAACTTATCACATTGCATGAAAAACACTAGGAAAGAATTGTTATAACTAGGATAATGGTGTTATGAATCTATGGGGAACACTTAAACCCTAGTTTCTCCCACAACTTCATAAACACCAATAATTCACTCTTGTTACTTGTTTGATTTTATAAACACCAATAATTCACAGAGTCAAGGAGAAAAAAAATTTCCATTCGATCTAGGACTGAACCGCACACTCCAAAAAAATAATAACCCACAGTATCCCGCTAATCTAGCTGATGGGATCAAACATCAGCATCCTCCACTGGTTGATGCTCTTAACCAAGTGGTTTTGGAAAACCTATGGGATGATGCTTTAAGGAGGAAGCCTCCTGCTCCACGCCCTGAAGAGTTTTATAAGGGCAATGTTAACATCACTTATTCTAATGGTCCTCCTCTACTACCTCCTCTACCACAAGGTCATACATTCGTCGTAACTAGTAGCTTGATGCAGATGCTCACCGCCAGAGGTTTGTATACGATGCTACCATCTGAGTATCCACATGCTCAAATTGTCAAACTAAGGTCGGTGTGTAAGAGTTGTGTAGCGAGGCCTGACTTGGACATGGACATCATCGGGTTAAGAGTATTCCCTCTCTCACTAACGAGAAAGGCCACAATTTGGTTCACTAAGTTGCAGGATAATTCGATCTATTCGTTGGAGCAGTTGAGGGATTCGTTCCTAGCACGATATTGTCAGGTGTCTAAAAAGGTCAACCACAAAGATAGAGTGAACAACTTGGTTGCATTGCCTGGAGAGTCTGTGAGTAGTTCTTGGTATAGGTTCCCCTCATTTGTAAGAAGTGTCCCAAACCACTACATTGAAGATGAGTCGTTGAAAAAGTACTTCTATCGGGGGCAAGATGATGTGCCATAGGGAGGTAGGGTTACCATCAACTAGGTGCTCATATAATATAAAGGAAACTAGGAAAATTGCCAGAGCTTCTCGCGACTCCGTCATTTTCAAATTTGGTTGAATTTATTTATAGTTTTAGTGTAGTTAAATAAGTGTTAAAAATTGATATTTTCAGTTCGACCTATGTAATTCTGCGGTGTAATAGGTTTATTTTTCTAGAATTTTAAAATAACATTGCTTGAATGAGTTATTAACATCGTGGTAAGAGCAGGGGTAGGTAGCATATAACTTTAAGAGAAAAAATGTGGATCGACATATATGGCACATAAACAAAAAAATTCTTATAAACATGTATATTTATAGTAAGGGATGTTTTTTTGAAATAGATAAAACCAAATACCCTAAAAATAACAGACATCAACTCTACATGATATACAAATTAGCCATTTTTGGACATGTAAAGTTTTAAACATAACAAAATAGACACTACTTGATCAGACTAATAATAATAAGGTCCCTAGCATAGACAATGTCTCGCCCCCAGCTACCCCCGAGATGCATACACGGATCCTAGGACCACAATTGATCCCAAGCTAACCCTGATGGCACTAGCATGAGCATACTAAAGATAATAAACTGTTGCGGAAGCTAAATCATACTTAAAATGAAAAGATGGGGAATACCCATATTTTATAACTTAGATATTTGAAAACAATGAGTTTACTACAAAAAAAATATTAACTTAATACCAAGCTGAAACTAACTATGTCGGTTAATAGCCTCTAAACTAGACTACAAATACTGGGACAAGCCCCAACTAAATCTAGAAAAAACTTGAACTAAATGACTAAAGAATGAAATGAAACTCATGAATGTTGTCCATTGATAATGAGGACTCACCACTGAATCTGCTGGACTAGAGATCGAGAAATCGATCTATGCGTGATCGGGATGCTGAGAACCTTAACCTACATCACGAGAAGATGTAGCACACTTATGTGCAGTACATGAAAAGTACTGACCATGTAGGATAGAGTAAAGTTGAATTAAAATATAACTAAACAATCGCAACAACAAGTACAATAATCTGAACGTGATGTGCTTATTTTTCAGCTAACTAGATGCAATGACCAATTTATAACATATTGAAACTGAATATTGAATACACTGATAAATGGTAAATGCAGAGAGTCTGACTGAACAATGGGAGCTAGTAATAACCGATAATAAAACCACATTAGCTAAATGTGGAGTCCAATGTATACGCCCCATCGGGAGGACCCAATAAAGCCAGCCAAATATATAAAGGAATGCCGGCGTGATCTCTAAACTGATTGCGTACTGAGAAGACTTACAACCTATTTGGCTAGTACTTCTGGGACTATTGGGTAAACTAAACCCTATTCCAACTCTGTATTATGCTACACCCAATGAATTCGATAAATTAACTGATTAAATTAGAATTTTTGTAAATATTTGATAGCTCAAAACTGAAAATGCAAACTAAGACTGCAAAAATTAATGTGATAATTATGCATTTTTAAGTGAGGCATGTATATCTAATGTGTCTAAAATATATGACCTAGTATGTGTAATTCAAGAAATAAAGAAATACAAATCTAGGGTTCTGAAATTCATGCGATAATCTGAGTAATAACATGATAATCTGATTTGGAACATATATTTAATGAATTCATGAAGTTATATCAAAGTTCTAGAAACCTAGGTTTAATCATAATAAGAAAGTCAAGAACTGACTAAAAACTAGGGACCTGATAGGTAAAAGGAACCGACTAGTGAAATCCCAAATACCTGATGATTAAATCCACCGAAAAATACTTATGTATCGGGGCTGGAACAACGGAAGCTTGTGGCATTCTTGAACTAGGGTTTTTGAGCTTTTTTTCTCTTCTCTTGCTTCTAATTTTCTAAAATTTAATTTAATGATTTGACTTGGATATGTTATAATTATGTTTCTAGGCTTGAACTGACTATTATCTGATGATTCGGGATCAAAACAACGTAACTTAGGGCTTAGACATAGTAGGAAAGGTCAAATAGAACCCTGGGAAGGTTGTTGT